AAGAAAGAAAGAAAGAAAGAAAGAAAGAAAGAAAGAAAGAAAGAAAGAAAGAAAGACAGACAGACCTTGTTTGGAAATTCAAAGATGGGGTGAAGGAGTGTAGGCCTCGGGTTGGTCAGAGGTATGTACCCCTGTGTCTGACCTCCTGTGAATGTGTCATCAGTCCTGTTCTCCAGGTTGGCTCTAAGCTTCCCGAGAGCCAACCTATGGCTCCTATTAGCAAAATACAGGACTGCTTTGGCCTAAATCCTTGCCCTTCCACTTTCTCCCCCACGTCTGATTTATAATAATAATTAACAAGACTAACTGCTCAGCACGAATGTGGCTGGCGATGATCCTTCACATACGTAATTAATAATAAGCCTATGGTTTGTCATTTCTATCTGATGATGAAAGCACGCGTCATCCACTCTTTGCAGATAAGGAAGCAGAGGCACAGGAGGAGTGAGTCTGACCAGTACTGCAGACAACCTGTTCAAGGTCACACAACCCACAAGGAGTGCAGCGAGAACTTTAACCCCGGATTCTCTGACCCCAAAACTTACGTTGTCAACCCCAGCCTTCCCCTTCCTGTGTACTTCCTGTAGATACGTCAGTGCCTGGAACAGGTGGCAGTGATAGTATCGGTAACTATTGTGGGCCAAGTCCCTTTAGGAGCTGACTCCAATGGGAAGACGGAGACATGGACTTCCCCCAGAGCTCAGTCAGCACAGGAGGGTCATCTAACTGGAAGGGTGCTGGTTCCTCGCCCGTAAGTGAAGTCATCTCTCAAGGGTCCCGTACCTAAAACCCTAATGCTAGGTAGATGCCATAGAACTGTTCAGTCTCCAGCCTAGAGTTTAATTACTCTGACCCTTCCCATATGCCAAGAAATGAATCTAAATAGTTTTGAATTTGAATAAGAGAAGCAGGTGGCAACATGTTTTCTTACTGGTGATAATTTCATTGAATTCTATTCATCCTTGACCTCTGGTCACAAAACAGTTACTCATTTTTTTTTCTCTTCTTACTCAGCAAACATTCATGAGATGCCAATTATGAGCCAGGTTTTGCTTTATTTAAAATATTAAGGCAATGAAAAACTTAGAGGAAATGAGATGAGGAAAAAATAAGTAAGAAATTATGTCATTTCTTGGCTCTTTCATTTTTAAAGACTTTGGGTGTTTTTACTGATTAAACAGACTTATTAACTTTGTTGACTTCCTCAACGTAGAAAAGAAAAACAAAGGTTATTCCAAATGACCTTCCTTTTGGACAAAGTCTTTCTGTTAAAAATGTGTGTTAATTTAAAGACATAGGGAGACTAGACTAATTTACAGTCTGTGAGCTAACTGAGATAACAGATCAGAACCATGAGATCGAGATAAAGTCTCTTATTTCAGACAGACAGAAAGGAAACATACTAATCTGTGATAAACCTAAAAAAAGAGTGGAAAAAAAAACCCAGAAAACTTCCTATTTGTCTTCAAGAGTTTATTATGTGCTAAGCCAATTTTAGCAGCTATATCGTTTAATACTTGTAACAATCCAACAGTGGGTATAATTACTCCGAAAGGTATAGTTACGGAGCCTGTCCAAGGTCGCTCAATTCCTGTCAGTGTTGCGTTTACAAAGCAGATCTGTCTGCATTTAAAAATCTTTTGAACTTGGTTATAGAAGTTCATAACTATTGATTTTATTTTGAAGGTTTGATGTCTATAAGTTTAAGTTCATTTCTATATGAAATTTAAGCTCTGTGACAATAAGAGAGGTCCTGACATCAACCTACCTCGTGGTAAACTAAACTTTGCTGGCCTAAAGTTGCTGCTGTCTCCCATGCTTGGATTCCTGTGGATCATCGGAAATGGTACTTGTTAAGCTGTTTGTCTAGAGCCGGTTGGTAAGTGACAGCCAATCACACCAGCCACACTCCAGTCAATCACAGAAAGCCCGCCCTGTAGGCTGTTCATGGAGCCCACCCCCGTGTAGCCGACTTCTCTCCCTCACTCCCTCTCTTAGGTTGTTTGTGCGGCACTTTCCCTTTCACTACACACTCACTTTCCCCTTCCGGCCCACTACAATGCTGGGCTGACCACGAGGCTAGCCAGAGTTGTTTGGAAGTTCAGGGATGACTACCCGATTTAAATCGTGTTAAGATTTGCTCAGTAAAACTCTATTAATTTGGTTTATTTTTCGTTTAGCACTTGGAAGTGATCATACTAACTTACAGTCATTACAGTTATAGAAACATCATCTTGAACGGCTTCCTGAATGTCTTCTGAGCCCTTATTTTTATGTTTCATAATGTTTTATAAGATCACACGGAACTTTACTGAACTCAAAGGTTTTGTAGATTGGGGCCAGCAGGTAGTGTAGTGGATGGGGCACTGGACTCTCACATGGCTGTCTGCAGTTCGAGTCCCAGATATGGTGGCTTAAGATTCATGCAGGGTGTGTGCACATATGTGCCCAAAATCTCAGGAGGAGAACAGAGGAGAAGGGATTTCAGATGACCATTCCTTCCTAGAGGACGATTTCTCACTTTCCCTCTCACTGTCTCACTCTGGCCAGCATATGTATGTGTCCTATGGAAAAAAAAACAAACTTAAAAAAATGTTTACAGATTAATCCATGCTTGCTTTCATGATCAAGACTTCACCATTTATTAATAAAAAATGAACCCAGTGATTTGTCTACCACTACCTTCGCTTATGTTCATGGTTGCTTTGAGTTGACCTTTTCTTCACAATTCTATTGTTGGTTTCATTCTTGAATAACAAGCTGTAAGACCATCTACATTCCTATGTTGTCAGATCTTCCTTTATTTGTCAATGTTTTCTTTCAGCTAAAATGATCCGTAATGGAGGGCGAGCAGCTGCCACAGTTATGGCCTGTCTTAACCAGCACTGGGATAAGGCCTTCAGTGTTTGCACTTGAGATAATGTCATTGATTTGGTTACCTCCCTATAAAGTTATACTACATGATCATTATCTGTTTCGGTACCAAGACGAGATGGTGCCCGTGAGAGATAAGAGCCACTGTGTTTTATGTCTGTTTGCATCTGTATCCAGGAAGTAAACAAGGGTTTTCTTCTGGTTTTGAATACTAGAATTTAAAATCTTTGCCAGCAATAGTAAATGACCTGCCATTATTCAGTGATGAAATCAGAGAAATTGAGTTTTCCTCTGACCTCAATTTTCAGCAACATCGGAAAGCAGAACATCAAAAAGAAGCAGATATTTTGCTTTTCAACTTATAAATACATAAACATTGCCTTAGCTGAGATAGGATAATATCACCAACTCTAATTATTGACATTGAAATAAATATTAACATTAGCTAATATTTGCTAAACGTGTATGTCATGCCAGGCACTGTAAAAAGACATTGATTTCACGATCTCATTGCTTTTATAATTATTTATTTAATTTTATTTAGTATTACTTTTTAAATTTTGCTAAAGGGCATGTGTACTGACCAGAGACAGAGAAAGAGGGAAAGTAAGAAAGCAGACCGCCAGGTCTGGGTCTTGAACCGGCTATGTGGGAACCCAGCATCTTAACTGCCATGCCACCTCATGATCTCATTTAATCCTTGCAATTAACTTGGGAGCTGGGTACCATTTTTACCCACAGTTTTTAAAGATAAGTTACTTAGCTGTGCCAGTAGGTGGCATGGTGGTTAAGGCACTGGACTCCCTCATGGCCAACTGCGGTTCAAGTCCTGGACCTAGTGGCTTGTTTTCTCACCTACCCTCTCTCTCTCTCACTCTGTCTCTCTCTGGTAAAATTTAAATAAAATTTTTTTTAAAGATAAGCTACTTAAAGAAGGTGGCAAACCTGCCCAGGAAGGACAGAGCTGGACCTGCCCCTGGCCGATCTGTATTTAACAAACCAGAAGTGGGACTGGGAATGGCCACTGAGACTTGTACTTCTTACTTTGTATGCTCTTGATTTTATACATTCTTGACTTGCTCATTGATTTAATGACAGTCTCTCACATGTCATGACCCTGCTGCCACATCCTCCCAGCTGGGACGACGGGGACACCATCATGCCCAGTACTTTTTTAGACAGGGTCTCACCATGTTGCCCTGGCCACTCGCCTTGAATTCATGACCACCACCCCCACCTCAGCCTCTCGGGTCGCTGGAATTACAGGTAAACAGAACTGTAATCTAGTCTTTAGGATGGGGATTGATCCAAGGCCCCCATACGGTCCTGCAGCTGGGCTACAGGGAATTCAAAGTAACTTCATTTTAAACCTAGCACAATAGACTCATTTTAAATAACAGACCTCGCTTACTGTGAACTTGCAAAAATTAATCATGGCTTTAATGAGATTCTGCAGAGGCCAGGCTTTGAGATTCTAACCCAAGAGACAGATGTGCTTGAGGATGATAAAAAGCTTTTGCTCCGATGACCGAGTTCAGCCAACCCAGTCTCAGTGAAAAAACACAATCCTGACTTGAACAAATTTCCTCTGGAGGGCCGGTCAAGGAACTGCTGGGCAGGGCAAAACAGCTCCCCTACCCCCTTCCTCCCCATCACTTCCCCTTTCTAAACTCTGTTCTATCAGAATGAGACTTTCCAGATGGTCTTTCCACCCCGGTTCACCCTCCTTCCAGGACACACCAGCCACAGTCTTTCCAGGTCCCTGGCTTCCTGATAAAGCCACCTTTCCCTTCCCCACATCTGTCTCTCGAGTGCTGGCTTTCAAGGGGCCAGCAGCTGGACCCGGGCTCAGCGCCGCCTTCATCTGGGAGCAGGCCAAGCTTTCGGACTGGAGAACAGTGTCTGAGCAGGGCACCCCTGGGACTCAGCAGACCCGGCCCAGCATACGTGCTTAGGGTAGAACAATTCACGGACACTTTAGAAAGGAATGGCAATAAAACCCAACATTTATTTTCTGATTTCTTTCTTACGTCCTGTCTAACATAATATGCAAAATCTCCCATATTTTTTCTAGAGACTATACTTGAGAAAGAAATGCACTGAATTTCTAAGCCAAAAATGTGTCATAATGTAAGAATGAGAAATGACTTTTTTTTTTTTTTTTGAGAGGTTTTCACTATTGGGCGCGTGCACTCACCAGACAGAGAGAGACGGAAAGCAAGAAATCACCCCCCAGGGGGGATGGTCACGCCACAATCCCTTCTCCTCCATTCTCCTCTCAGGATCTTGGGCACGCACGCACATGCGCCCGGCTTGAGTTCTAAGCCACCGGGTCTGGGACACGAACCACGGGGAAATGACTTCTAATTGGATCATTTCAAACCAAGCTGAGTCAGGGTAATTGTTTCCCCATTTTTTCATTGTGATAAAGTTCATAAGAGGATCCACAATACATAACCTTCCCTGGAACGGACTGATACTCCCTAAAACTCCAAAGTCATAAAGGGGAACTCAAGTACCAAACTCAATCTCTAGTGATGTAGTAAGCTTTGAATAAATATGTTTTTAGTTTAACCAGCTCTGAACAAAGCAACTGCTGCTACCATATTTTATATTCCAGATTATGTACTTTGAGAAAATAATACATTTTTTAAACTCTTATTCAAATTTCCTGGAATCTCTAAATGTTTTAGAAAAAGAGTATTTCTTCCAAGAATACGGACAGAGGGCTATTGTGTATCTGGGCCAGAAAGCTAAATGTCAGCGAAGCAAGAGAACGGTCCAGGGACGAGGGCCGCTTTGTCTTCACTCTCAGGGAACCTGGGCAGTCGTACATGCGGAGTTTGTGTCCCTTCTGCGAAGTGGAATACAGCCACCACGTTTCTTCTTCGAGTACCGTGAGGGACAAACTGAGCACGGTTACACACCTACAGGCAAAGGCTTGCGGGTATCACCTCTAATTCTATTAAAAGGTGACCCCTGAAAACCTAATTGCACATGACTTCTTTCATTCTGTGTTTTCCAGGGCCGGCATGCTAGAAGTACCTGTCTTTGATCTCTTACTGAGCTCCCTAAACTAACACACCATGCCCAGCAGCGATGTTTCCAGCTGGGCTGCCCTCAGGATGGGGCGCTCCCATTCCACCAGCCCCCGAATTCCAGACTGTGCTACACGAACTGTGGAGAAAGCGGTGAGGCTCCCCTGCCAGCCGGAAGGCGACATCGGTGAGAGCCAGTCCCAGCCCTCCTCCCCCCTGGGAGTCTCTCCAATGGCCGGACAGTGCCTGGTCTGCATGCGCCTACCCTGTCCACTTGTTTCCAGTAAAGTGGATCCCGCTCCGAAAGGGCCCAGGCCTCTTGGTGCTTTGATAAAACTGATGCACTCGTAACCCCAGAAAAGAAACAGGGTGACTATGTCCTCACGGGCACGGTTCTGTCTGTCTGTCTGAGCTTGTGGATGTCCGCTCCAGACCTTAGGTTAAGAAGTCCTGTCCACTAGTTGCCGTCACGTGCTCAAAGGCCCATCTTCCCACAGACAGACTCTTTGCGGGGAGGCTGATCAGAGCTATGACCCCTAAGCACAAATACCTAGCGGAGCCACCTCCCACCGTTTCCCCCCTGTTTCTCATCTAATCCGACCTGGAGCCCCAGGGCCCAGCCATCTCCCACTCACCTCCTCTCCTGGTTTCGTACAAGCCCTGCATCTGGCCTAGCACTGGCCCTGCTTTTTCCCCGTGGTGCCGAGACCCAAGATGATACGAACTCCTCTGGACTCACTGTGCCGCAGCATGCAAAGCCGGGTGCTTTCTCTCTGCCCTAGCTAAAACAAAACCAAGCCTGTAATGACATGAAGCAGAATGTTTGCCTAATTCCTAACACATCTTAACATAGCTCATACCCTAACCCTGCCATTAGCTAATCCCAACCAGTCTCGTTCGCTGCACAGAGACCTCCAATAGTCCCCTTCGCAGCCATTTTTAATGCAGCCTGAGGAAACCAGGGCAGCTTCTGACATGGAAGTGCAAATTGCTCCTATGAAAAGCCATTGTTTCCAAAGGAGACAGTCTTCCAGACAACCACTTCACTACCCAGGACTGAACTGGGACATAATTCACTTCCTTTTAGCAAGAATTTAATTTCTCAATTCTTGCGATTTTCCCTAAATCCTCTGACTTCCTTGAATTGCCTTTTTTTAAGAGAGATTTTTGCTACAGGGTGCATGCACTTGCCAGAGTGAAGGACAGAGAGACAGAAAGTGAGAAATCGCCCCCAGGAGGGATGGCCACACCACACTCCCTTCTTGGGATTTTGGGCACGCACGCACACGCACCTGGCATGAGTTCCAAGCTGCTGGATCCAGGACTCAAACCATGGTCGACTACGTGGGGGTCCAGCAACACAACCATTACACCATCTGCTGGTCCCTTGAATTGCCTTTTAAAACCATCCAAGGCTTCTGTCTTCTGACATGGGCTTACTTAGTCATTTTCCTTAATATGTAGTAGAGTTTGCAGAAGAACCTTTGCAAAGGTACCAGCTTCTAGTTCTTCTCAGCCACATATTCAAACTCGAACTTTGTTCCCAAAGGCAAAGATAGGTGTGAGGGGAACTTGGCATCTCTTTCACAGATCGGTGGCTAGGAAAATAGCATGTTGTTTATTGGGCCAGCCACTGAAAGGGACATTATTTGCATTACTTGTATCCTCACAAGTTCACTCTGGGATCGAGGGCAGCTTGGACGCTGCACAGCTGACTGGTGGTTCTGGCCTCACGGGTGGGCAGCCCCAGGTGCCCTCGCTGTCCTGGGTCCTGCCTGCCTCTCCGGCCTCTGCTGAATGCAAACCTCCATTTGCTCAGTGCAGGCCCCAGTCATGGCGGCTCTCATCCCCTGGCTCACACTCCCAGCCCGGTCAGTGGTCAGCCACCTCCTGGGTGGGGCAGGGCTTCAGCACAGCTTCCAGCCGTCCATCACAGAGCCAGGCCCCACTGACCTCAGCCAGACGCAAAGGGGCGCTGCCTCGCCCTGATGTTCCTGGGCTCAGACGAAGCGCGCGCTGGGGATGTGCGACCTTGCTTCCTGAGCATATGGGGGCGCCAGCAGAGGGACCAGAGCGGAGGTGCACAGCCGAGATGGGGGGCTAAGCTGCGGGCGCATGATCACCTCCACTTCCCTCCCTGCTACTGCGCCCAACTCCGTTCCCCACGGCAGTCTGGAGGAGGTCTCGTGAAGACCACGTCCCCGGCCGTCACCACCCTGCGTCCTTCCCGGCCTCTCCTCGCCTCTCACTGTCGCTGCTCTGGCATGGGGACCGCTCCCAGCAACGCCTGCCAGGCGGCCACCTTAGCCAGGCCCATGCCCCAGCCCGGCCGAGGGCGGTGTTGGAAACGAGCTTCCAAAGCAAACCACCTGGAAGTTCTGGGGGAAGGAAAGGGAAGCATGGCGGAAACTTTCCCGGCAGGAACTTCCCTGTTTTGCACGTGGCCGCCATCACCACCGGACTTTCCCGTCCTTCATCTGCACGCCGCCAACGTTAAAAAGAACCAGCGAACTTCATTGGCCAGACGAGGACCCATGGCGAGCACCTATTGGACAACGGCACCCACCCTGGGCTGACTCCCCTGGCCTCTGTTGAGACCACGGACCTCAGCCGAGAGCTTTTGGCAGAATAAATCATGCTGGTTTTATTAAACCCCAAGGCCTGACTCTGGTATTTTCATCTTTGCCATCTGGGCGGCAGACCCACATCAAACCCACCACCACCCTGGAAAGCGTTTAGGATGACGTTAACAGCAATCACAAAACGTGCACTTGCGTTGGGCTGACTGGGCGCCAGAAAACAGCCCTGGTGCTCTGCAAGCATTAATTCAGTCTGTCCTTAAGGCAGACCAATGACATGGCTGCTATTTTGGAGTGCCAGCCCTTGCCAGAGAGACAGCGACAGAAAGCAAGAAATCACCCTGGGGTGGGGGGTGGGGTGGGGGGGAATGACCATGCTGCCATCCCTTCTCTTTCATTCTCTCGGGATCTTGGGCATGCGTGCACATGTGCCTGGTGTGAGTTTTAAGCCACTGGGTCTAGGACTTGAACCATGAGCGACTACATGAGAGTCTAGTGATGTAACCATTATACCATCTGCTATCTTCTCAGCCATGTTTAATAGCCAAGGAACCTGAAGGCACAGGCAGTTTAGTGACTTACCGAAGGCCACACGACCATCCAATAGAAGTTCAACCTCGTTTATGCCTATTTTTGCCTTGACTAACTTGAGCAAAGTCAGTTAATTAGTGCTCAGGTTCCTCATCTAATACCAGGAATAAAAGACCAGCAGGTGGCATGGTAGTTAAGGCACTGGACCTCACATGGCCAACTTTATGGTTCAAGTTCTAGACCCAGTGGCCAGAAAAACATGCTGGGTGCATGTGTCTGTGTGCCCAAAATTCCAACAGGATTAGAAATTGCTGTTTGGCCATCCCCCTTTTGAAAGGTGGGGATAATTTCTCACTTTCCCTCTCTCTGCGTGTCTCTCTGTTTCTGGCAAGTGTACATGCCCTATGACAAAAATCTGAAAAAAGAAAATCTGAAAAAATCTGTTTTACATGGATACACCTTTGTCTGTGTTTAGGACCTTACAATAGATAACTTATTGTAAGAAAAACTCCACTCTCCAGTTATTGGATGTTGACCAAACTAAGATGTTCTCAGTGACCCCTCTCTGAGAAGATAAAAACTGGAATGTCAAGGATATTTAGATAAGGATTCTCAGTCAACATCTAATTCATTAATGCCAACACACGTAAACGTTTGTATCTGAAGAGAAAACGTGAAGGCCATACCACATTTCAAAGCCCGTTAGGAAGTTTGCGGGGTATGACTGAGGGATTCTGTACAACCACTCCACATACAGAAATCAGTAAGAGTAGCAAAGGGAAAATTCCTCTTTAACATATACATGAATATCGCTAAAAACTGTGGTCAGACTTCTAAAAATAACATCCTCTGATGGTAAAAGAATACTCCATTTTTTACTGGCCAGTTGGGATGGGTCTTCAGGACAGGAAGTTATCTGTACATGAATTTACAGAAACATTCTTTATTCTGGGTGACAAATGAGGCTAAGTAAAGTGATGCAAACGTTTTTCCCATGAAGGCAAATTCTGAGCACCAATGATTCAGTGAGCAAGCAATAAATGGGTAGAATAGGTATTTTTTTCCCCAGGACAGGATTTAACTGTATTAAAATGACCAAAGACAAATTTTCTTTCACTGACTTCGAATAGTTAATAAAAACTGGTTTTCTGGACACGTTACTTTTGGTAAGAATACGACTGGTCAGGGCCAGCAGGCAGCATGGTGATTAAGGCGGCTGGACTCCCACATGGTTTCCCACAGTTCACGTCCCGGACCTGGCAGCTCGCTTTCTCACTTTCCTTCTCTCTCTCTGTCTCTCTCTGGTCAACTTCCAAAAAATGAAATAAAATAATGACAATGAATAATGACAAAGTTAAATAAAATAATTCTTAAAAAGAAGAATACGACTGATCAAAAAGCCATACATGTTTAGAAATTTTAATTTTGTCATTCCTACTAGCATTGCTTCTCTTTCTTCAAGCTGCTCTTGTGTATTTTGACCGTGGCCCCACTTACCTGGAAGAAACTACATTCTCTCATGAGACGCTGTTTACCTTTAGAATTCTTTATGCCTATCTAAAAATCTATGACTCCTCTCTTTCATTCCTCTCCAAACAATGGGCAACAACCTCTGTTAGGGTGAGTCCAGGCAACACTAGGAGTGTTCTCCGTGATAACCCAGGAATTGCACTTATGGGAAGAATCAGACTCGTGAGCGCACATGTGTAATCTCCTCCGGAGACTTTTCAGTGCTAAATTAGCACTCAGATTGTGCCACAACTGCTGGTAGGTAGATCTAGAGAAGTCTCAAATTGTTAGAGAATTAGAGTGTTTGGTGAAGCGCCATAGAGTCTGAGCATGGATATGATTTTGAGTCAAACGACTCGAAATCTGACTCTCCTTATGCTGAAACAAGTCATTTACAAGTAATTTCTCCAAGTCTTGGTTTTCTGGTGTGTAAAGTAGAAGTGGCTCAGGGCTTGGGCTATGCTAGATGTTGTAACACTGTTAGTTGCTCCTATGGCCCCAGCTAATCTAAGAACTATTACCTCTGCCTGAAGTCCATAAATCTGTACCAGAACCACTGCCTGCCTAAGCACAGGACCTAGCAGCAAGAGTGGGCCTCTGTGGATGGTCTCATGGCACCTACCACGGAGAACACTGCTATAATGTTCTGGAAACAAGACGGGTTAGGCTAATGTATTCGCCCCTTTTCCTCTGCAAACACAGAATTGCTGAATAAATTGCAATTGTTTTTCAAAAATATTTAGTCAAGGATAATAGCTGTAGCAGCAACAACGAAAACAACGCTGAAGGAAATCTAGCAGTATCCAAGAATGCAGAAATAAATTAGTCCGATGGGTACACTGGAAGTGAAGTCTGAGGAGCCCGCAGGGTTTTGATCTTGATAAAGAGCCTGGGGTTGCAATTCTGATCCTCCATGTGACTGCTCGGAGAGAGTATCCTAGGCCAGGGCCTGGAGGCAAAAACTCCAAAAACCTAGAGTCTCTAAGAATTAACCGTCTATTTAAAAGAGATAAGATAAACCATACCCAGCACCCCTGGGCACAAGCTCTGTGGGGTTGTGTTAACTATAAAATGAAAATTTACCTAGGTTCTAGAATTCAGTAACAGTGGTACAGCTCTTATAGATTAATTATTCCACATATAACAACTATAAATTCTAGGCAAAATATTTTTAAAAACTGCCTAAAAAAACAATCAAAATCAAGCACAAAGCTAGAAATGCCTTTAGGATTAAAGACCTAAATGTGAAAAACAAAATTGTAAACCTTAGAAATAAAATACAGAATAACGTCTCTAGGACCTTACAGCCAGAAATGAGTATTAACATGACAGGACCAGCAGTTAGCCTAATGGCTAAGTCACTGGATTCCCATGCAGTCGACCGTAGTTCAAGTCCCGGACCTAGTGGCTTAAACTCAAGCCAGGTGCGTGTGTGTGCGCACCCAAGATCCCGAGAGGAGGCCGGAGGAGAAGGGATTGCGCAACGTGGCCATCCCCCCTGGGGGGTGATTTCTTGCTCTCTGTCTCTCTCTGTTTTTCTGACAAGCGCATGCACCCTATAGCAAACACTTTTAAAAAAAAAAAAAAAAAGAAAAAGAAATGGCTATCAACAGGACATAAAAAGCACAAGTACGACAATAAAAGCTGATGAATTCAACTCCGTTGAAGTTGAAAATTTCTATTAGATGAATGGCAAAGTTAAAGAAATTAAAAGAGAAGCCTAGATTGGGAGAAGGTGTGAATAGAATATACAAGTAACTCCTGTATAAGCAGCAGATCCAAAGCACAATGAACATAGGCCATAAATACATACAGGCAACTCACAGGTCAATTCTAAGTTCCCAACAAACCTTTAAACATGCTCAACCTGCCCAGCAATCAAGGAAGTCATCCTGAAACAATGGTGAGGCAGCGTTCACACCCACTGGGGGAGGATTTTCGCAACTCTAGAACTACAGTGTATTACTGGGGAAAAGGAACTCCTAAGCACTGCCAGTGAAATTGGAAACTGAAATAACCTTTCACAAAGAAGTGCGTGATATCTAATAAACTGAAAGATGCCGGGTACTGTTACTCAGCAGTTCTTTAAAGATACTCACAAAAAAGCTTCCCCATAATGGGATAAGTCATGCATCTGAAAAAGCGCAAAAGCGCTATTTACAATAAAGAAAACCAGACAATTACCAAAACCACCTATCAGAGAACTGATAAATGAACTGTATTTTTAATGAAATGAAACAAATGCATCAGGACCACATGAATCAACATGGGTAAACTTCAACACAAAGTATGGGGACATCCTTAGGTGTTAAGATTAGCTGACAAGTATTCTAATTTTTTTCAAAGAATTGTTTATTTTATTTAATTCCATTTGTTATTATTAGCATTATTTTTAATTTGACCAGACAGAGACAGAGAGAGAGAAAGGGAAAGTGAGAAAGCAAGCTGCCAGGTCTGGGACTCAAACCATGTTCAGCATGTGGGAATCCAGTGCCTTTAACCACCACGCTACCTGCTGGCTCCAAGCTGACAAGTATTCTAATCATGCTCAAGGATGTTCAGTGTAAAGATTTTGCACTGAGTGTACAAGCATGGGCTGTTAACCCTGGCTGTGTCACTTGCTAATTTTGTAACTAGTAACTTTTTACCTTACCTGCCTTACTTCATCTCTAGGGGACCCCCCCGGTTTTCTTAATGTGGGGGTAATCCTACCTCCCAGGATGGCAGAGTATTATATACAAATTATCAGCCCAGTACCTCATGCCAAGTAAGAAAACACATAGTTAGTAGTTTCAATATTACTTTTAACTATTACTCCCAGGAACAGGAAAGGTATGTCACTCATCAAGCGCTGAGAGTCTAGCCAAACGAAGTGGAAAAAAAGGCAACCTGGTAACAGACATGTTTGACGTTGTCAAACAAAATGCAGAAAATAGAAAACGCAGTGTATGTGTCACTCCTTCAGGCTCCATCCATCATACAAATCTGACATTTCCCCCCCAGACTGAAGTTATCTGCAGCTCCTTC